TATATAATAAAAAGCCTATAATAAATCAGTACACTAGATGAGGTAAAATACACCATGGGCCTCATTTATCAATCTAACGTAGAAACGTACGCAGATCCGTGCGCACAAATTAACTTACGACAGAGTTCACGTGTGATTCATGAAACATTCGTATGCCGCCAGTCTCATCGTACGAATGATCGCATGTTGATAAAGGGGGCAGCAAAAAAAAACCGTCATTTGAATATCACGCCCCTAAAAACACCCCGGTTTAGAAGCCTCGCCCCTAGAGTTTACAACATGGAGAAACGAAACCCGGCCAAAAAGAGGAAGTAATCTCGTGAAAGAGAAATTCGGTATTCAGAACAAAACAAGAATTAAAAATAAGTAGTTATAAAATGATATATTAAACTATAAAGTAAAACACAAATTAGGCTATTGGCATTCATTATAAACAGCATACAAGCAAAACTGAAACGGCATTGTATACCACAAGAATCACGCAATTCTGAGAAAAAAAGTCAGAATTGTGAGATAAAAAGTCGCAATTAACTCTTATTTATTATTCAGTGGCAGAAACGGGCTTCCATAAATATCCATATAAAATCCTTCACGTGCGCAAAAATGTTTGTTCGGGCGCTGCACGCTTATTTTACTGCAGACCTTTTAAAATAAACAGTGCAACTTTTATGTAATGCATTAAGAGTGTCACAAAAACAAACGTAGCCTATACTTGTTGCACATTTTTTTTCCCTTTTGTTAATTATATTATAGCCTATTATATATTTTGTGTGGTCCTATTTACTTTATTCCTTTTATAGACTTAATTTCTGTTTTTCTCCGCACTGCAAGTGCATGATGCAACGATTGAATCCTCATGGTCTGTTGTTTATGCTGCTATTTGCGCATATAAAGCTAAAGCCCTGTATAAAAAAAAAGAAACAAATAAAAAATAAAAAAAAAACATTCTAATCTTACTGGTTAACGTTCGACTAATGAGCTTCGTTTGATCGTCAGGAAAATAAAAATGAACAAATGCTGTCATTCTACAAATCTCCACTGTAATTATATGCTGCGCGCAAGTTCAGGTAACTCAAAAACTTGCGTACACGAGCTGAGACCAGACGTAAGATTTGATCGTAGCCACCACTCACGTCCATATTGATAAATTCCAAGTTTTGTGTTGAAACGACCGTATGCCCAATTTTCTGTCGTACGTTCGTTTCGTAAATGAGGCCCAATATGTCTACATTTTTTACTGTTGAAAAGATTTTTTTTTTTAAATGGTCGGGTAATTTCTTTAAAATGTTTTTGAAAGTAGTCTCGTCACAAAGGCTGCATCAAAGATACAGTGAAACTCTAATATTGGGAAATAGTACAATATAAAATAAATGTTCTATTATAGTTAATTGTATACAATTCTTTTATATAAAAAATAATTATATTTTAATATATTTTCAAATGTAATTTATTCCTGTGAAGGCAACGCTGTATTTTCAGCAGCCATTACTCCAGTCTTCATTGTCACATAATCCTTCATAAATCATTCTAATATGATGATTTAGTGCTCAAGAAACATTTATTATTATTCTCAATGTTGAAAATAGTTGTTCTGCTTAAATATTTTTGAGGAAATTGTGATGCATATTATTTTTAGGATTATTTGATGAACAAATTGTACAGTATTTATTTGAAATAGAAATCTTTTGTAACATTATATATGTTTTACTGTCAATTTTGATCAATTTGTTTCATCCTTGCTGAATGAAAGTGTCACATAATCCTTCATAAATCATTCTAATATGATGATTTAGTGCTCAAGAAACATTTATTATTATTCTCAATGTTGAAAATAGTTGAAAATAAAAAATTCCAACCTTTTGAACTGTATTGTACATCACCATTGATATTGATCACCATTGATTTGTTTCTTTTTTTAGTTCATAACAAAAACTTTTTTTTTCTTGTTGTTGTTAACTTACAGGCATGGTTACATCGGAGGCCCTCCACAACATCAGGGGCCACCCATGCATATGGCGCCCCCAGACATGCGTGGCCCTCATGACATGAGAGGAGGGCCCATGATGGGAGAACCTAGAGGTCCTATGATGGAGCAGCGTGGTCCACCCATGGAGGCAAGAGGTAGTTAAAGATGTGGTTTCACTTTATTTGTTGATTTGGTTTGATATCTGTATGGACCCTTTTCACAGACTGTGATGATGCGTTTCAGTGTCAATTGAATCAAATCCTGCAACACTTTTTTT